TGGAGGTGGAGGTGGATGGAGAACGGTGGAGGTGGAGGGGGCGCGGTGAAGTTGGATGAAGCGCGCTAGAGGTGGAGTTGGTGTACGACAGTACGAGAGAGAGAGCGAGCAAGATATTTCTTCATTCGGCTGGCTCATCGGGTGGATAGGAATGGGTAGGGCCCACGCGTTACGACACTGTGCGGCCATGATTCAAACGAGTGGCGCAGACTCAAGGACGCGCTGACGTCACGTAGGGCCCATGTGCATGGGCTGATCCAAATCCCCACGCAGGTGCCGAGGCGGTGCGATCTTCCAGGGGCAGCGGGATGCGGGTGCGGTTCCTGTGGCCTAGTGTGAGGCGGCTTGGGTTGTGACCATTGGGAACATGCCACGTGGAGGTAGTTCTGCAAAACCGGGAGCGGCGCTGGTTGTTTTCCGCCGAGAGCAAGGAACGAGGCGTGAATAGGTAGGGCCCGCCACTACAACTCCTGTCGGCATCGGCACGGAAATCATTCCCATCGCGCGCGCATGTCGAAGGCAAAAATGGGTGCTGTAGTCAAGGCGGGACTGGGCCTGAATTTGGAGATAGTTTTATTTATTTTAACCCTTTTTTTAATATAATTTTAAATATAACACTGTTGATTTTTTTTAAACGAACATTTTTGGCCGCGTCTATTGTCATGGCGCGGCCAAATGCCTGTGCCGCGCTATGCATGGTGACACGACAGAGGGCTGACGTGGCGAGAGCCGGACTGGGCGATGACATGGCTGGTCCTGCCGCGCCACCGACCTTGGCGCGGTAGGGCCACGCCCTGTTCCGTGGCGCGGCTGGACCAAATATACCGCCTCGAGCAGCCACACCACATGGCCGCTGCGCCCACCGCCCGCCCGTGGTACTAGATGGTTGAATCGAAACGCATTGCGCCCGTCTTTTGTTGAGTTTTTTTCACGGCCAAATAGAGAATTTGATAAGCCAATGATTAATTTTTCGTCTTTCATAATACGGTTATGCACTATTTTAACTAATCGATTACGAAAAATTGCCACCGGCGTCCAGATACGTCGGGACTGCCGGTTCCTGAACTAGTTGGTACTTAATCTCGCCGGTAGTGCTGCCACGACTCAAAGAAACGAATAAGAAGCAGGTTGACAAGCTGCCACATAACATATTCATTGTTTTGACATAAGTTTGAGATAACATAACCAAATAACCCCGCAAGTTTCGGATGCCAATATTCGTTTGACCTAACAAACTAAGACCCAGGAGTGTAAGGATCCCTCGGACGCCTCTGTCTCTTCGGATTTGTTGGCAACACATTGGGAGTGTAGCCAACGTCGGTATGATCACGTCGACGGTGCGTACGGCTCGTACCCTGCAGGTATATGATACGCACGATTACTTATAATTCTTTATGATCGTTAGTTTATGGAGCCTACGTATTGAAACAAACTATCTTTGTTAGTACCTGTGAGGCTCCTTGGGTGTCAAGCGGGGCACCACCTAGCTGAGACATGTCGATCTCGTCATGCGGCCACTCGTCCCACTGGTCGTGCTGTCCGCGGAAGCCCGAGGGTTCGTCGTCGGCGTCATCGTCCTCCTCCTCGGTTGTAGGTCCTTCCCAGCGCTATAATGTGGTGGTGTATGCACCACGGAAGTGGCACCTGTCATCGGCTGAGAAGAGCCGACTGGTGTCCTTAAAGAGGCTGAAGACGTGCCACCCGACCACGCCGGGAGTGGCGGTTCCTCATAAGGAGTGTCCATGCAGCTCGGCTTCTGAGCTAGCTTCCTACAGCTCTTCTTTACCTTCTGCATAAATAGATGTTAAAGTTAGTTCATTACCCAAATGCATATACACTAAAGAAACATTTTCGAAACGGACACGTTTATGTTTACCTCCACAAAAGCCGCGAGAACGCCTGGCCCCTACCCTCTAGACTCGTGAAGCCGGAATGCTGCTTCGTTGGATAGCCTTGACAATTGTGTCGCCTGGGTACAGAAACGCGGTTGGACAGTTTTAGTACACATACTTAATACCGAAAAGATAACAAATTGTATCATTCAAATATCTTACCACGTATCTTTGAAGCGGGGCTCTCTGTAGCTGTGTGTCCTCCCTAGTGGTAACGTCGTACACATCTTCGATGACATCTTCCTCCGAGTCCTCGTCAATCGCCACGTCGATTGTCACGGGGGGGCTTGATATGTGTCCTCAGACACTGTGAAGCCACCGCAGTACTAAATCGAAGGTGTCTTTGGTCGTGTGGAGGACCCGCAAGGACCGCATGTGGTACCCTGGTCTGCCACAAATGAATGTACGAGCTGTGTGTCACGCGCCAATCCTTGGTCTTGTACCTCTTCCTGCGGTCAAACCTGCAACAAAACGATGTTAGTTGTACCAAACACATCTCTGAATTGTAGCATTGTTATTAATCGATAACGCACCCGTGCAATTCTTAGTTGGTGGAGTAAAGCGGTGGTGGGCAGGCTGTCATTCTTCCAAACTGTCTGTAGACCAGGATGGGCAAGTGAATCTCGACCACATGGAAGAAAATAAGAGGGACGTCGCAGCGATACTCGTGTGACTCGTCCCTAGTGATAGGACTCAGATAGCCCTAGAGCTCCGGAGAATCCCAAGGACACCAAAACACCTGAAATTTCGTAATTGTGTTAGGTTGTGATATAGTGTACATCGAAGAAGACACTGGTACGATAGTATAGAGAATATAACCTGGTGCTGTGTCAGGACGTCAAGACCGTCTGTGTACTCCCTGTACTTGCCCTACGCATTCCCTCTAACTAACTGTGCTAGGGCGCTCGTGGCGCGTTCGGCTAGGGACGCCTTGCGCAGCCACGAAGAAAGCGCGAGGCGGGCGCAAGGCGGCGAGGCCTGCCAGCGTCTTGGCTGGTGGCGAAGTCCGGTGGTGGCGGGCGGGGAGGGCGGGCTCGCACGCGGTGTATATTTGGTCCAGCCGCGCCACGGATCGAGTAGCAACCGCTTTGCTGCTAAGGTCGATGGTGGCGGCAGACCAGCCACGTCATCGGTCCCCCAGTCCAGCCCTCGCCACGTCAGCCCTATGCCGCGCCACCATGCATGACGCGGCACTGGCATTTGGCCGCGCCATGGCAATAGGCGCGGCCAAAAGTGTTAGTTTAAAAAAAATCCGACAGTGTTAGATTTAAAATTACATTAAAAAAGGGTTAAAATTAAAAAAAAATCATTTTGAAGGCGAATGTCTTGTAAGGGCATGTTTGGAACGAAGGAACCCAAAACATAGCAATCGGAAAAAAACGCAGGAATAAGGTATGATGAAAAGTGAAAAACTACGGGATTTCAAAACACAGGAACAGAAAATTTAGGCTGTTTGAAACACAGGAATTTATAACATAGGAATTGTAGTGCGCAGCTGCCTTGAACTTCCACACAGGAAGAGAAAACCAGAGGTCTGGATAGATGTTTCTTTTCCTGTGAAAGTTTGAAGATGGTACAGTATTCCGGAGGAAAGGAATTGGAGTTTTCCTTTGTTCCAAACGTTCCTCTCATCTTCCTTTCCTCTGTATTTGTTTCCTCCACTTTTCCTACAAAAATCCTTTGATCCAAACATAGCCTAAATGTCTGCATCTATAAATGATTTACCGAGACGGATATTTTAGACCACCTCCGTAAATTCATTTTTGGAGTTGGACATTTTTTGACCGCCGGCGTAAGTAAAACGACCGCCTCCATAAATAAAACGACCGCCTCCGTTAATCGTCAGGTATTTTAGGAGATGGTTGGATTTTGTGACCGCCTATGTTAATGTTTGGCAGTGCCTCCCAAAATCAATTTTGTAGTAGTGGATACTTAATTACTAATGACACCGCGGTAACACACAAGTTAAAGTTAAGATGTTTCTTTGATTTAAAAAAGGTCGTAATACTAACTAAAGACAACCTAGCTAAAAGAAATTGGCAAGGATACAAATATTATTGCTGCTTCTGTAGTAATTATGAGAGTATTCAACACCTATTTTTTTAGTGTAAATATGCTAAATTTCTCTGGCATGCGTTGTCATATGGTGTTTGGTATTCCCCCACTGCGTACTACAGCAAACCTTTTTGAATCGGTATAAGCAGTGTAGAAAAAATTTAAACGTCTTATTACTAGCAGGGGTGGTTGCTTCCTGTTGGTTCTTATGGCTCATTAGAAATGATACTGTTTTTGACAAGTACAGTACCAAAAAATTTTTGCAGGTCTTATTCAGGAACAAATTGGCTCCGGTGTTGAGGTGAAGAAAAAATAATATATCTACAAGACCTATCAGACCATAGAGACATCGTTTTGGCCTTTTTTTCCTCTTATGGATGGTCCGTTACGTCTAGGATTATGGACTGATTTTCTATTATTTTTGTGAGTCTCCTTTAAATGTGGTGTGAGAATTTATTTTTAATAATGTGGTCTGGTTTCTTACTTATGAATGAGAATGAACCTAGATGTTTATTCCATTATCTAAAAATGAATACGTGTCGCGACAGGTTCACGGTTACTTTTTTCGGTTACTGCTAGCTATGAGTTCGACGTCATCGCCGTGCAATGTGTGCATGCAGTGTGGCCTTTGTACCCGTACCCGGTGAAGCACGCATGCTGGGCCAGCTGCTTGGCCCCACAAGCAGTTACTGGGTGCTGCTAGCCGTTGGCGTAAAACTACGCAAGCTCGAAACACAAGCAGGCTCGGCCCAGATAGCAGCAACTCCTAGCCCCGGGCGCGCACGCCTGGGCCTGGCCCGAGTGTTGGTGGTGCCGCCAGTGGGCTTCACGGGCAGGGAGCAACAGGTTTTGGGCTTTTGGCGAAGGAAAAGAGTCCATTAGGTTCGCTCAACTTCTGTGATCTACTCTCATCTACAAAATCAGTTTTTTGATCTCTCTTAATTTTCATCAAAACCGCAGTCTGTGATCTACTCTCATGTTGTACACAAATGCATCATGAGGGTTGTAATGATCAGGAACAAAGTAGATAAGGTCGCCTTCAACTCCACGGTACTAACCAGCAGGAAAGGACTTGCAGCTGCCTGAACCAACAAAGATGCAGTCGCCACCAAAACTGTGGATCTCAGTGAGGCTAATTGGTTTCGTGCTGAAGTCCATGGCAAACACTTCAACCTTAAGAACTCTGTGCCTGACTTGGTAACCACCATAGTATCTGATGATGAACAACAGTCTTCCGCGCAACTCCACCATGTTGCAGCTCAATACATGATTGGACCCAAGAGGGGTAGGGAGGAGCTTCTCCAGCAGAAAATCCTTCATACGAGAGAACTTGATCCCATGCCCATCCTCTGCGATTTCAAAGACGAAGAGGGATGGCGAGAACCTCCAGAGCATGTACAGTCTCCCCTGATAGAAGGCCATATCGATATGCCCAGCAATCAAAGAATGCTGCCAAACACGCCATGCCTTCATCCCAGGTCTCCAGAGCGCCAGTTCAGGCTTGGACCTGCAGAACGCGAAAGCAGCCACAATGCACTTGGGTCCCGTCTCAGGTGAACCAGATAGCGCCACTTTGCGCAGTGAGCAGGCCCAATGGCTGTGATCGGAATCGCCCAGGCGCGGTAGATGGAGCACCACGTGGGAGAAGGCATTCACCAAGAAGCACTCGCCGCCGGCCTGCCTGGCGCCCACGAGCCACGCATCAGAGGATCCCACGCAGTCGGCATGGTCGGCATCCACCTCCGACGGCATCCAAGCGCGCCGCGCCGTCGCCGTCAGCACGCCCCCGGGGGTCATGCCGGCGAACCTGAACCTGGGCATCACCAGCACGGGCAGGGCGGGGCCACGCCGCGGCCGCGGGAGGCGGCGCGCCAGTTGCGGCACACGGACCGCACCCTGGCGCGGTCGGCGAGGCAGGGGAGGAAGCGGAGCACGACGCCCAGGGCGTCAGCCTGGAGGCCCGCCCACGGCGACGACGGCGACGAGTCGCGCTCGGCGTCAAATCTTCGCCTCTTCTCTTGGGGCATTTCGTCGAACGCCTCGCCTGCACGAGCCAGCCAGCCAACCACCTGAGTTTGTGACGGCCCCGCAGGAACCAAAATCAACGGCCACGAGGTACTCAGTACGGCAGCGGAGGAACTCACCGGCGGTGTCCGCGCCCAAATCCATCTCCGCCGGGAACCAGCGCCGTGGGGTCTCGTTATCTGACGAATCCGAACACCGCAGCAAATTGAGCCAGAGAAGAACCTGCAAGAATCAAGCAGGTTATGACTTCATGCTCGGTGAGTGATAAAGTAGCTCAAGAATTCGGGGCCTGCAACTGATTGAATCGGCGAGACGGCGACCTCGTTTTGCAGCAGGGACAGGGGCAGGATTGTTCGGAGACTGAGATCGTCTTGTTCTTCTGACCCCAAAAGGGCAAAATGGATTCTGATTGTGCAATGCTCACAAAGGTACAGCTTGGTGAGCTACTGTTACTGTCGGATAAGGCAAGATGTTAACTTTGTCCAAATAAAACTTATTTGAGCGCTCAGCATATTTTCTATTAAAAAATCACCACATATGGTTCCTATTCCTAATAAAAAAAGAATCGCCACAAATTCAGAAAAGGAAAAAAAGGATATGGGATCTAGGGTTTGGCAGTGGAGATTTATTAGGATGTGGTGACGATAGTAGTGTATTTAGGTTGAAGTGGGGAAGAAACAATAAATGATGAGCTAGATCAATTAAATTGTGGGTAAGTGGTGGAAGCGTTAGATGGAAAATTGAGAAAGGTTGAGTAAAGATTAATTACGATGTGGGTGAGAGGTGACAACACATTTGGGCATGTGAGAAAAGAAACAAGAAATGGTGAGCAAGGCCAATTATGCTTGACGTGAGTGGTGGCTTCGCATTTAGCATCGAGTGGGTAAAGAAACAAGTAAGGGTAAATGTGAATAACTACACTCTAGATGTATAGTGGGAGCACATTGAAAGGACCGAATGGCCCAAGAGGAGGAGGATTGGGCTTTAAAATTTAAATAGAAAACCTTAGCCTATGCAAGTACCACTTCACCCACATACACAGTGGCACCTAAGACTAAAAAGATCACACCAATGAGTCCTTAGGATCATCATACTATGTCCTTAGCAAGGTCCACTCTAAGATTAATGTCCTTAGGCGTGGGGAAGGCAAATCTATCACTTAGCATACTATAACATATAATTCTAGTTATGACACCATTGAATTTGCACACACAAAACATAAAAGCACAAAACTAGGATGAAGAAGTAATGCAACAAAGTAAAACAGGCAAAGAGACAACTGGATTTTTTCCCATGGTATCGGGTTGTTACCACAACACCCCATTCCAAGCTGGAGGACTAAAGAGTCACAAACACTCTATTTAGCTTAGAGTCATGAAGTCTCAAGTACTCACTAGTGAATACTCATTCTCCACATCTTAATGGTGGGTTCCAAACTGTGAACACCAATATGAGACTCCCAACAAAAAGTCCTCCATCGGGAAGCTTACCTGGTCCTCTACCGGGCCATCTATATCCACTAGCAAACACCAAGAGTAACAAACAACAACACCATGACAAAAACTAAGCCAAGAACATCGCATGCACACAATGCACACTCTCCTAATCGGTGATCTTAACTTGGATGGCTCTCACACACTTCACAAAAGCCCCTCTATATGTGTCTCATAGCTATGGTGAAAGAGAAGCTCCAAATGAGCTAGGGAAGGCAAGCCACATATATAGGGTGTGAAAGCCCCTACTAGCTATTGGAGAAAAGTCTATAAGACACATACATCACTGGATGATCTGCCAGGCACCATGGATTCATACGGGATCATACAATGATCCTATATAGGCTAGTTTTCCAACGATCAAAAGGAGTATATCGGAATATGCCTCACCAACCATGAAGTCAAAGACCGGATCATACAATGCATTCTAGAGACTTGGCTAATTTGACACACAGTTGAGGCACATTGTCACTGGATGATCCACCGGGCACCACGAATTCTCCACCGGATCATAAGGTGCTCACTAGTAACTTCGCCACTTGAGACAAATTCAAGTTCAGGCCTCGATATATGATCTACTGAGGTGTATTTAAATAACCAATGGATCTATGGTGAACATCGGTGTCCCGCCCACTTGACACATAGTCAAAGCTAGGCCAAAGACTCGAGAACACTTAGAACCCTAGAAGCAAGGAGAAGAAGAGTAAAGGAAGTTGAATGAGACAAGGAGAAGTGTTGGAGGAAATCCCAAGTACCACCATCACCTCAGGCTATCACCATTGTTATGGGAGAGCAAGAAGTGCTTTCATCCCCTTGCATTGTTAGCGGGGAAATATGGGAACAAGTCATCCATCAAGATCATTTCCACAACCACAACATGCTTGAAGTAGAGGAATCTCACCTCAAATCCTTTGTACACCCTTTACAGTTATCTTACACTTCGTAAAATCACCATAGATGACATGGAGCTTCACCTAGGCACCATATTTACAATGCACCTTGGTAGATTAAATCTAAAGGTCCTTAGAGCATCTCCAACACGGCCCTAAACAGGGCCCCTACTCTACCTTTTTGGGCTAGAGCAAAAAAACTTAATCTTGGCACCGACTCGAGCCACTACTTTATGGAGCCCCCAAAACCTCCTCACTCGGCCCTAGGGATGGATATCAAGACAGCTTGGCTCATTATGGCTCGGCTTGTTATAGCTTTGCTCGTTACAGCTTGACTTGTTATACAAACGAGACAGAAGGCTAGCTTGGCTCGACTCATTAGCGAGCTCGAGCTAGCTCGTTTGGCTCGCGAGCCAAAAGACAAAAACACAGTACATAGAGATTATAATAACAAGTCAGCAACAAACACAAAACATGCATACTTAAAATGAAATAAACAAAGTATGTACGAATTTTACAATGGTGTCCCTGGTTCTCTTCTCCCTTGTAGCCTATTACATATATGTAGACAACACATCTCTAGCACCTCGTCCTTATCCTCCATGAACACTCATCGCAGCTTGAGATGGGAAGGAGAGAAGGAGATGTCGGCAAGTTGTGCGTGGTCTTGTGGAAACCGGAGATGGAGAGGAGAGGAATCTAAACTGGAGGGGGCAGAGGACTCATCTCATGGTGAGGTGAAACGACAACGATGAGGTGATCCCTGGCAATGAATCCTCGATTCACGCATGCGCGTGCATGAGAGAGAGAGAGAAAGAGAGGCAGATGGCAGCGGCTTGTGAGAGGAAAGAACTACGACCATTATCGCAATGTCGCGTGAATGTAATTGCCGTGGGGGTGGGCTAGTGGTGTCGTGGGGGTGTATTGGTCTAGGGTTTTAGTGTTTTATCATGTTGGGCCGTGTATTAAGGGATATATGGACTGATTAAAGTTGCTGGCATGTTACTTAGCTTGGCTCATTTTGGCTCACGAGTGGCTCAGTCTATTTGAATAGAGATCCCTGCCGTCGCCCCCCCCGTAGCTTAGTCGATTGGAATGATGATGTTTATAGACAAATGATGAGCGAGTCCCATATTCCAATGGTTACTGGAATGGAGTTGAGGGTCCTAATTTGAAGGTTCCTATTGGAGTATATGCAAAAAAACAAACCCTTAAAAGTAAGAGGACCCTCAAATCAAAAGTTGGGGCCTTGATTTAAGGGCTCCTGCTAGAGTTGCATCTATTATAGCAAGTCTTGAACACCACCTGCTATATAGATCACTTACTATATATGGGATTGGTAAGCCTAGTATTATGCTTGGCCATGTAACACCATGGGTTAGGTGCGATTTGGTACGTATAGTAGCTAGAAAGCTAGTATCATGGTACATCTCAATTTTGTTTATCGGGTGACTTTGCCTAGGATGAGAGATGTTGAGGTGATGAGTTACCTCTTATAGAACCGCGGGTTGTATGGGCAATGCCCCATCCCTTGGTCGATAAAACTTGTACCCCTCTACAAAATTTGGCTTGTCTTGATCATTTCGAAATGTTGTGCTCTTAGTTATCAGCACATTCTTGGCTTCTAGCTTTGGAGTAATTGTTGAGATGAAAGTACTTGTGGAAGATCCAGCTCCACCTTATTCTAATGTTCATGCTTCTACTATTCCACTTGCTATGCCTAGATGTAGATGTTAGATAATGTTTCTTTATGCACAAATGCTTTTATGTAAAACTTTATACCTTGCTAAGTCCTGTGGAATATAGTTATGTACTCATAGTGCTACACTTAAGTTTTGCAGGTGAGGTGGTCTCGCCCTATAGTTTTCTACACATGAGAGTCATATGTAGCTCATGGATGTTGGATGGTCCATGAGTTGTATCTCTAAAACTGTTGTATAATTACACTTCAACTGTAGCACTCGAGTTTGTGAACTTAATGATGATAGCAACTGATGTTATAACTTAACTACCTTTCATGATTAAATAAAACTTTTCTGTGAGCTATGTATTCCTTCTCTAGCAATGGATCCTAGTTTTGTGTGTAGTGGATAGCACGGATGATGCTAATCTAGGAATAATTAGATTATTAGTCATTATAAACCAAGCAATTAATCAAAGGGTGACAATTTGGTTTAACGTGACTATGAAGGGTTCTCGTGGGACTCATAAGCGACTTGAAGCCAAAATCATCACCAATGAGGACCTTCCCTTCCTCATGGGTTTCTTGATACAACGAGCACATCCAACGTACTCTCGAGCAAAGCATGCCGCGGAACTAAGAGTGTGTTTGGTTGAGTTATGGCTTTTGGAAAACCTACTCACTACCAAAATGGTGGAATTCTCCTAGTGTTTTTAAGTAGTATTAAAATACAATCACTAGTCATAGCACTAGGGAATCCCACTAGGAGACATTTAGTAGGGAAAGTTTAAACTAAATATTGAATGCTAAAACACTCGGAGAAGTCCACCTCACTAGGAGAATTAGAAAATTCTAGTTGTGACTATAGGCTGTGAAGAAGCTATTGTGGGTTGTGGGTTGTGATAAACCTAAAATTTATTTGGTCAAACCACTGTGGATTTTAGAAAAAATGTTATTAGAGACCCCACATGTCATTCATGACCCCCACATGTCAATCTCTTCTCTCTCCAATGTCTTATCTAGTGTGCTCTCGTCCATCATCTCAATAGGATGAGGCTGCCACCACTGCTTTGTCCCCCG